CGTACTTATATAATAATCTCATTTATATCATTTACATATTATATAAAAGTGATTAAACTGTAAAGAAATACATTTTTTTTTGATACAGTAATATGTTTAAGAAAAGAAAACTAATTTGATAAAATAAAGTCGCATGCACAGTGCATCTATATCAAACCATTGTGTGTGTTCGAGTTAATTCTTATATTTTATATATTTGATTTTTGCATATTAAAAGCAAGTATGGTTTAGCATTTTCAAATGCGCGGCAAAATGCTTATATCATATATGCCTTAATTGACATCATTTTATGAAGTGTGACATCATTCCGCCTAAGAATTGATTCTAACAAGATATAAAAGAGAACCAATGTATTTATAACAGTAAACTAACCACATTTATTCTGGTCAAAATAAATTGGGGTAATTAAGGAATTTGACTTTGCCTTAGGAAAGAATAAAACACATGATGTCAGTACAGAGTGGAATATATGAGTCTGGGTAACTCTTCTACACAGACATATGTCCGTGTAATTGTCTTATTTTATTCACAAAACACAACAATGTATATACGTGAACTTACATCTATATAACTTGCTACCATACTTTGCTTCATCTACAATTGCTGTAAAGAGGGCACAGCTGCATTTCTAGAAGATTTAACTGTCCTGAAAAATCAGAACATAACTTCAGCATAAAATGATAAAGAGCACATTGAAAATATTTCATAAGTGATCACATGTGCGAAAGTGTTAATACTGTAGGAACGTGTTCACTTTTATGTGCATGTGTAGTTATGTATTTTGTGTGTTCGTGCGTGCGTGCGTGCGTGTGTTACCAATTGCTTTATGTGAAATATAAGTCAAAATATGGAATGTCGAAAAATGTGTGATATACAAAGCTCAATACAGTTTTTCAAGCTTTTAAATTTATGTATAATGAAATATTAAATAACTGTTTCCTCAAACAGGCGCGTGTTTGTGACTGACCCATGCGATATCACCTTATGCGTAATGTTTATCTTAAAAACTAAACAAAGAGTTTTAATTATAATAAGAAAAAAATATTTAAATTTTGATTTATCCAATAAAAAATTCATTGTAAATGTCGAAAACTCAGTTCATGGATATACAATTTAAAATCTGGGTAATCCTGAATAAGGTAGATAAATAACCAAAAATATCGAATGAAAACCAAGGGTTGTCTATCCTGAATTGCGAGTAAACTCGATCTTGCTAATTACTTTTCATGCTAAAACAATACAAACAAAACCGTTTTAAAACTTCTGGTTCGTTGCGATATTTTATATTCACGAGTTTTAAAATTCTTACACCGACAACAGGCTCCTGATCTAAGCTTCGTATCAATGTAAAAATAAACATAATTGAGCCGCGTCACGACAAAACCAACATAATGGGTTTGCGACCAGCATGGATCCAGACCAGCCTGCGCATCCGCGTAGTCTGATCAGGATCCATGTTGTTCGCTTACAAACTCTATAACAAGTAGATAAACCGTTAGCGAACAGCGTGGATCCTGATCAGACTGCGCGGATGCGCAGGCTGGTCTGGATCCATGCTGGTCGCAAACCCATTATGTTGGTTTTGTCGTGACGCGGCTCATATGTTTTGACACCAAGGGTAAGTGAATTAACAGTTAACTGTTAAACTTAACACCTGTCGGCCATATTGCATGCAATCATACACATACTTTGTATTAATGTAAATAAAAAATTCTGACAATTATTTTCATTTTATTTATTCATCTAAATGTATAATGATTTATTCTCATTTAAATAAAAAAGAAATGTTTGTTTCCTATTTTTGTTTAAGATTTGTGTTCATTTAAGAATAGGTTAATATAAATAAGAAATATAAATATGTGTACAGAAACTTAAAAAAGTGAATAAAATTGAAAAGAGCGGAGTCTTTAAATTGACTTATGTTTGCATCAAATAATGGGGATTTGTATACAAATAAAAACTGCGAATATAAAACAAGTATTCTGTTCGTTAAATTATCAAGACTGAGAAACAATTTTATCTAAAAATTTATAAACCTATTTTTTAGAAGTACTAAGCAATTTTCTTTTAAAATATGTAAATCTGTTAATTTTGATAATTTTTGTTATTATATTGAATAGATATCAGATAACCTATTTTTCGGCTATCAATGTCATAAATTACTATTAAAATGAATAGAATTTGAGTGTCTCTTTTCGATAAGATCTTTCTTGCACATTGATTCGCACCCCTGCTGTAAAGTGATAATTGAGATCGCTCAAGATTATAAGGTCCAATCAGTTGACCAATCAAGCATACATAGGTCGTGTCACACACACTGATTAATTCCTTTGTACTTAACCATGTCCAGGGGCTGTAATACCTTGACATCTTCGGTGTTTAAATGTCGTAATTTTTAACTCGGTGTCTTTTTTACCCTGAAGGGAAGTTATGATTAACGCATTTAACAAATGCCCTTTTCATTGTTTTGTTTTTGCATTTTTTCATATAAATTATTAATTAAACAAGATACAGTTTAGAAATCAAAATCAAACTCGTAACCTCCCAGTCTAAATTTAGGGATATATCCCTGCTTTAATTATCTAATCCGGCGGCCATATTGGATAGCGAAACAGATTAAACAGTGTTACAGTTTTCTAAAAACAAATCAGTTTAACCCTGAAATAAGCTGTTGTTCACAAAATGCAACTATTCTATTGATCGCATATTGATAATGTAACGATAAAAAATAACTTTTAACCTACCTTGTTTTGCAATATTCTGAATTTTATTTACTATCCATTTCCAATCCCGTTTTTTCTTTTTTCATTTCGCCCGCGCTATTTCTGATTGGTTGATAGGATTCACGTCATACATAACCAACGTTTTAAACTCATTGGCTGTTTTGAAAACGCGTGATATGCCTAGATACCGTTTGTGTAATAAAGCATTTAGCATTGATAATGCCACGGCTTTATATTAAGGTCGGTGAAAATGCGGAAGAAACCAGCATACTAAGACCTTTATTCGATCCAAAATAATGCAATATTAAATTGGAAATATCATTTATCCATAAACGATAACTTTGCATACATGTATAACATAACCATTGATATATTTTATAGGCAAAACTTTGATTCTAATGCTCAATTGGTTATTCATTTTTTTGATAATAATAATAATAATAATAATAATAATAATAATAATAATAATAATAAGTATAATAATAATAATAGTATTAATGATAAATAATAATAATAATAATAATAATATAATACTTATGATGATGATGATGAAAATAGTGATAATAATAATATAATGATGATGATGATGATGATGATAATAATAATAATAATAATAATAATAATAATAATAATAATAATAATAATAATAATAATAAAAGACGTTTTAGAAGCGCTAAGAAATATTTATAAATAACACAAATTTATGTGACAACAACAATAAGCGGGTAAAACAAAAGACCCACATTAAAGTTACACATAGGACAAAAGCCCCCCCCCCGTTCATCAAATAAAAGCCTCCCTAAGGTTTATAGACCAGACTGATTACTATCTATTTTTACACGCCCAGTGTTCGGGAACTTGGGTTTTACTTCAAATAAATCTAGACAAGTATGCGCCTTTCACTTTTATTTCCTTGATAAGCTTTGAAAAGCGATTCTCTGAAAATACTCATTTTCTTTGTACTGCACAATATATAATAAAGTAAACATAAAAACATTCATATCATCAATGAATTATAAGTACGAATTACATAATAAATCAAATTAGAACTTTGGTACCTTTAAATTTAAATTTTAATGTAAATTATCTTTTAAAACAATTGCATTGATTTGTTAAATATATCAAGTTCCAGATTTAAACTGACGAGATTCTCAATAACAATTGTTTGATGGACTGGGGTTTGTGGGGGGGGGGGGGGCTTTTGTCCTACCTGCATTTTTTATTGGGAGGGGGGCTTTTAATTATAAAGTTTTTTCTTTAAGTGCAAGTTTTGGAAAGAAAACAAAATATACCCTTTTTAGACTATATTCTCTAATCTGAAATGACATGTAGCAAAGAAATATTGCAATTTGCTGTGTTTATCCTGCAAGAGACTAAGGTACTGAGTTCGAACATTGATAATGGTATTTTTCAGTTGTACGAATAAGTAATCCAACAAAACATGACGGTTTGGCGAGTCCATTTAAGCATCCCTTATTGAAGTTTTTGACATTCATTTTGTTATCATGTGATACTGAATTATTGTATACAGGTAGAAGTGTACAGGTAAAACTGTTCAAATCTTGTCAATTTGTATATATCGCCGTCCAGGAACGTCGGTAATGAATCGATTTACGCTTGATCTAGCGGGATAATAATTACATAGGTACCCGATGCCGCTCAAGAAATCGTTGTAACCAGCAACAATGAACGACCTATTATAATTATTACATATAAATTACTAAATAAGGGAACAACAATGCTATTCGAATATTAATTTAAATCATTAGAAGACCACAGTTGTAATGCCACAAGGCATATTAAATATACTGGCGAATATTCCCTTCCATAATTATAGTCTTGTACAAATTTTAACGTATGTGCCCTTTAAACATGCATATTGTATTAATACGTTTAAATAGTTATTGTTTATAGTTAATTTTATTTGAAGTTAACCAGTTGTTTGTAAGTAAGTAAGTAAACGCCTTTATTTAACGAGGCTTACACATTCGGTTTCCCGATCTTCCAAGTGGTCCGCAGCAGAAATACACAATTACAATGTTTAAACAGTTTACATATACGCACTATATACACAACATACATACACAAAGGTCAAATCGAAACAGAAGCCGTATTATTAAATGTCTATAATTAAAGTCCATAGAAGTTTTTACTAAATTCTAAATGATTGTATGGCTAGTGTCTGAAGAATTGTTTGTTTGTGATATATGTTTTGTATTCATAATCATAAATGAACAGTGTGTCAAAAAATGTTTTTCTGTTTTTCTATTTATAAAGCACATGTCTTGGAATAAAACAAGTAACATCTGAAAGTTCTTACGTTGAACAGAAACTCAGTCTGGACATCAAAAGTATAAAAGGAACTTATAACGTTAAGAAAAATAAAACTTTGAAGAAAAAAGACACCAATGATCAACATCGGTGTATTATCTCTAAAATATGCATGTTTCCTAATCGTGAAATTCTCATTTATGATTCAAAGAATAAAGGACTGAAGTATTTGAACAGTTTGTACCAAGTAGTCAGTTACTGTGCCCTTAGTAAACATATCTATTTTCTATGTTATATTGGCAACAATACAGCTGTCGTTGGTTTAGATATAAATTCCATACAGTACGTGGATGTGTCAGATAATATAAACCTAAGAAAATTAGTGACGCTAGATCATGATTGTCTCTGTCTAGCTTGTCACGGTGACACACTCTATATAAACAGTGGATACGGAATTTACAAATATGACAAATACTGTAAACAAAGGCAAGATATCTATTTTTATAGTATAGAGCCTCACATGTTCAGCGAACACTCAGTTGCTATAAGTGACAATGGGGAACGACTCTACTTCAACGCAAACACAGGCCTAACTACAATAGATGCCAAAGGAAATCATATATTCACAAGTTCTCAATTTGTCGAGTATAAGATACGTGATATATGTATTGCTGCTGCAGGTATTGTTCTTGTTTTAGATAAAACAAACACTCTTCATCAGCTAGATTATACAGGAAAAAAGCATCGGACTGTATATAAGATACCATTTACTCATTTGTATGCGTGTTCTATATGTTTCGACAGAGACAGATGTAGACTTATAGTTGGTGGACTTGAAGATAAGATATATATTTACAAATGTCAGTTTTTGCCAAACCAAGAACCAACTGAATGAAAGCGCTAAAAGCACTGATATATACTTTGCTTGATAATACAATCCATTTTTGTCACCAAGGCCATGTTTATTAAAACGGAAAGAAGATATCCTCTATGCATATTTCTACAATGGAACCTACAATGGAAAACATTCGCTATATGAAAAACAGACGATAAAATCAGCCATATTCATTTTGAAAACTATGGATAATGGTTTAATCTGGAGTGGCCGAAATTCGATAAAAGTTAAAACCATTTTGTGAAAAAGTTACATTTTCAAACAACACTTAATATTCCGGAAAATATTAGAATTTTATAATATTTTCATAGGCACGTGTAAATTAAACCAGTTTGAATTAAGGTGTGAAACGATGTAATGTATACTAGTTGTTTATAAAACATACAGGTAAATGGAAAACTCAAGTCGCAACATTAACTACCTTTATTGATAATTTTTAAAAGTGAAATAAATAACTATTTTCTAGTAATTCTAAGTAAAATCAGCAAGTAAGAACAGTTAAACGCTGAAAGTTGTCATTGTTTTCATTTAAAAAGAAAATATATACATATATTTTTTCATAACTAAAAAAATTAATTTTATTTGGGTTTAAATAATGATAAATCTGTTTAACTCTAAGTCCAGTAAATACAATCCAGTAACCTGTTTTGAATATCACATTTTTTTACCTATATATCCTCTGCTTCAAATCTTTAGTATTTCGTTTCAACTAGGTATTGATTTTACAAACGTAAACATGTACGGGTTTCAAGTCTACAGGAGAGATATTTGTTGCGTTTATCAGATATTAAAAATATGTATATGTTAGTTAGTGTATAATAACGTATTACATATACTGTTGTTATATAATTAATCACATGTATATTTCAATGTTTAACATGTTTGCATGATTACGTGTGTATGCATATATTATATGACTGACATATAAATGATTCTTCTTATCATTTTTGTCAATAAAAAATTTTATCACTTATTACAGATAATAAAACATCAGTTTTAAAATACTTTCATAGACACTCAATCTTTTTAATCAGTATAAATGTAACCAAGCGTATAATAATCTAGTACACAGTAGTTGTTTATGTTCATACAGGTACAAAGGATAAGTTTCTGTTCCACTTAAACTTTTTTTAAACGATAAAAAGTAATTGTTTTACAATTAAAAAATTATCGTTCAAGTAATAATAAAGCTTTTGACTATTTGTAATTTGCTTCAGCTGCGAATAAATCTTATATAAATAAACATGTATCAATGTATAAGCGTGTATTAGAGAATTTTGTTTTGTATTTTTTCTTTTTTTTTTTGGAAATGATTAGATATTAAAACAAATGTCCATATGCCAGCTATGATATGATAGCGTTATCTATACACGGTTGATATAAGTACATTCATAGCTATTTTAATGTTTTGACGTGTATAAAATGTCATGCTTGTATATGCACATATTACAAAATTTTGTTTTGTATTTTTCTTTATTTTTTAAAAATGACTAGATATTAAACAATTGTGCTTTTGCCAGTAATGATATGATTATGTATTCTATAAACGGTTGATATAAGTACATACATGATTAGACGTGTAAACTTTGTATGCATGCATGTGAGTGTATATTTATATGACTGAAACTATAATGTTGGTTTGGTATTTAATTAAAAATATATAGATAAATACATTATATTATTTATACCTCATTTGCAAACGCCCTTCTATATTTGATATGACGTTATCCGGTCCATAAACCGCATACAGACCGGAAGCGGTCCACAATTCTTATATGGACTGGATGATGCCATAATAAATATAGAAGGGCGTATGCAAATGATGTTTATCATTTTATTTTGTTGTTAAATGATTCTTTTTACAGAATTTATTGTTTTGTTTCACATAAATTTATTATATGTTGATCAAAAGTCATGATTTGTTTTTAAATTGATTATAAATTTTATTTATACAGTTTGTGAAAATCTGTTTTTGTTTCTGTTGCCTGTTTAATTAGATTAACAAAAATTGAATAACAAAAGAAGAGCATGTTGTTGTTTTTTTTGGTGTGTGTTTCTTTTGCTGTATCGCTTGAAAATAGTAATAGAAAATCCGACAAGGGTTTGAGATATTTCACACACTGAACAAATAAGTTATTATTTGAAAGCAAATTAAAGTAAAAATGACAGCAACAAAAGGGATAAAAGAATTTAGATTCTGTATAATATAACAAATAAAACATGGCCTTTCGGGCAAAAATGCAAGTTTACTGACTGGTTTTTCAGACCTCGGGGTTATAGAGGACACAGGGAAAAACAATCATGACTATATAAAGGAGTAAAAGAATTCCGCCTCCAGATTCAAATCGGACAAAAATATGTAAATTCTTAAAGGAAAGTGAATAAAATTATCCGTAAGACCTAGTACATTAATATTTTGTAAAGAAAATGTAAATTCACATTTAAACCTAGAAAACAAATGTTGTGTTTTATTACTGAAGGTAGGCAGCTTTAAAACATATTCTTATTAAAATAGTCATATGATAAACATGTCAGATAGCAATCAAATGTATTATTAGGCTTTAAGTGATCTTTTTTAATCTTTTCTTACCCTACGATCATCCTTCGTTGTTATTTAAACAAAATTGTTCTAAAATATCTTTAAAAAGCCGGTACATATAAAATTTAAAATTAGCTTTCGCATTACTTTAAAGACATTTAAACGCAGAAATTTATTTAATAATTTTGTTATCTTAAAAAGAAAATCTTCAAGATTAAGATTATTTAAAGCAAACATAAGCAAATATATTTGATCCCTATATGTATTTTTACTAAGTATATATTTTTTCTCTTTTATAAGCAACGTCCACGAACCTAAATTTGATATGTTTTGTTATTCTTTATTTTTTACTTTTAGTTTTTAGTGGGAGTATTTTACACCTTTTTGTATCAAAATTTATTCATTGTTTAACTTATGGCTAGATTAAATATATCATCTTTTAATATCAGGGGTATTAGAGGAAAGCAAAAAAGAATGGCAGTTTTTAGATATATAAAAGATCAAAACATCGGCATTTGTTTTTAACAAGAAACACATTTTGATAAATGCCTTAGCCAAACATGGTAATTTGAATGGGGTTTTGATATATATACTTAAGCGGATGTTCATCGAACAGTTCAGGCGTTGGATTTGTTATTAACAAAAATGTAGACATAGATATTACAGATACCTATGAAATTATGATGGAAGGGCACTTGTTCTGACATTTATCTATTTAGATACTGAAATTACGCTTGTTAATATATACTAGGACGAAAAAGAAACGCCGGGTACATAAAATATGCAACACATATTTTATTGCTTGGCCTAAAATAATGAAAATCGGTCAGATTTATATAATGCCCCATGTCGCCAGAGTTTGCCAGCAATTTCTTGCCAACAGTAACATACACCCACTCGATTGGCCAGCATTCAGTCCAGATTTGTCCCCAATTGAACATTTGTGGGACGAACTGGATAGGAGGGTAAGGAGACGTCCAAATGCCCCCACTAATCATGTCCAGCTCACACATGCCTTGCATGAAGAATGGAATAACATCCCCATGGCCATGATTAATACCCTGGTGAATTCCATGCATAAACGGATCAGGGCTGCCACAGCTGCGCATGGAGGACACACAAGATACTGATATGTCCGGCCGTGTTTCGCAAAACAAGAAGGGTCATCGTTAAAAGGGGGTATTTTTTCACATAATCAGCATCGGAAATCGATTGAAACTTCAACACCTGGTTCCATACAGATGACATTTCATACAAAAATGAATATAATAATCCAATAATACAATTTATCCCTTAAAACAATCATTATAGGTTACCCGGCGTTTCTTTTTCGTCCTAGTATATATGGGCCAAATAATGACGATATTTTGCTTTTTTAGAAAAAATATGGAAAATAAACAAAATACAACCTTTATCTTGGGACGGGATTGGAAATTACCCTTTGATCCAATTATCGATAAAAAGGGGGGAGGGGGGTTAAAAATACCCGTAACTTATGCCGTTAAAACGTAAAATCATTAGTTGAAACATTTGATTTATGTGATATATGGAGAATAATGCACACGACAGATAAAACTTATGCATGGCACACAAATGTAAAACCTGTAATCTTTTGTAGACTTGATCATTTCTTAATCTCAAATCATATTGTCAATAGTATTTCAAAGTCAGACAAAGAAGCGGGGTTAAAATCTGTTCATTGTTTAGTCATAATATTTTTAGAAATGGGATAACAAAAAAGAGGAAAAAGGCTTCTTAAAAAATGAATAATACTATTTTATTGAACGATACTTATAAGAAAAATGTGATTCAAGCAATAAATGATTTGAAAATAAACAATTCAAATACAGATCCGCATATACTTTGGGAATTAAAAAAGGTTCAATTAGAAATGAAACTTTAAAATGTCCAGTCTGGCAAAGAAACTAGAAAATGAAAAAAAATCAAACAACTTGAACGTGAGATAAAAGAATTAATGAAATCTTTTACTGAAGTAAATATGAAATAATACAACAAAACCTTAAATCAAAGCAAGACGAGCTTGAACAGATATATAAATTGAAAATAAATGGATACCATACCAGATTGAAATCAAAACATATTGAAGACGGAGTCAAAAACATTACAATCTTGAAACAGTTAGAGCAAAACCAAGCGGAAAGTAAATTAATCCAAACACTGAAGAAACTGAACAAACTGACATACCAAATGAACAATTTAAATATTTTAGAGAATTTTATTATCAAAAAGAAATAAAAGAATCGGATATTGATGTCTTCAGCAAAATCTCAAGCATACCAAAATTAGGTGAAGAAGAAAAAAATTATGTGAAAGCCCTAAAACGCTTAACGAAATAAAAGATGCAATAAGAAATATGAAAAATGGCAAAAGCTCCGGAACAGATGGAATAAATGTCGAATCCTATAAATTATTTTGGAATACAATAAAAGACGATCTGCTAGCGTCACTGAATAAACGTTTAGATTTAGGACATTTTAGGACAAAGATTTGACTCTTATTGAAATTGGAGTTCTATACGTTTATTAAACGTTGAGAACAAAATTGCAGCAAAAGCTTTAGAAAAAAGACTAAAAAAGGTTTTAAACAATATCATCCATAAAAGTAAAACAGGTTTTGTTAAAAACTATAATGGCTGATTTGTGCCATTCCTATCTATGCCCCGCGACCCCGCCGAGCGAAAAGTCAATAATTAACAAGTTAAAATGGCGGGGGCGCGGAGCAAAAACACACTAATGAACGAGGGCGCGGGGCGAAGTTTAATAGATGAATTTCGCCAGGCGGCCCCCGCGAGGCGAGATTTAAGAAATAAAACGGCGGGGACGCGGAGCGAAAACACGCTTGTTAGTGACTCCGCTTATATGCGTGTTTTCGCTCCGCGCCCCCGCCATTATAACTTGTTAATTATCGACTTTTCGCTCGGCGGGGTCGCGGGACGAAAACACGCTAATTAGCGAAGGCGCTCGGCGAAATTTTGTTTTATTTAACTTTGTCCCGCTCCCACGCTAATTATCCTGTTTTCGTCCCCGACCCTCTGTTTAATTTCTTAATTATCACTCAGCGATCCCGTGGAGCGAATTTTTTATTTATTAAACTTCGCCCCGCACCCTGGCTAATCAGCGTGTTTTCGCTGCGCGCCCCCGCCATTTTAACATGTTAGTTATCGATATCGACTTTTCGCTTGGCGGGGTCGCGGGAAGAAAGCACGCTAATTAGCAGGTCGCGGGGCGAAGTTTAAGAAACAAAAACTTCGCCTTGCGCCCCCAGCTAGTTAACGTGATTTCGTCCCACGACCCGCCGTTTTATATCTTAAATCTCGTTCCGCGCCTCCGCGGGGCGAAGTTTTATTTATTAAATTTTGCCCAGCGCCCTCGCTAATACGCGTGTTTTCGCTGCGTGCCCCCGCCATTTTAACTTGTTAATTTTCGACTTTTCGCTTGGCGGGGTCGCCGGGTGAAAACACGAATGTCACAAATCAGCCGCCATAAAAACAGATATATAGGAGAAAATGTCAGATTATTGTGTGAAACAATAGAATATACTGCAATCCATAACACACCTGGACTACTATTTTTACAAACTTTGAGAAAATATTTGAAAGCATTGATCACAATTTTATTCATGAAATATTAGAGTACCTATATTTTGAATTCGGAGAATCTTTAAATAAATGGGTTAAACTATTTTACAACTCCCCAACGAGCTGTGTATCGAATAATGGACATTTATCTTTTTTTTGAATATAAAGAGACGTTAGACAAGGATGTCCTTCATCACCTTATATATTTATTTTAACAATTGAAATCATGTCTTATCACATTCGATACATTTAAAATATTAAAGGCATAGAGATATATGGGAAAACGTTTAAAAAATGTAATGCTGCAACAATATTATTAGATGGTTCAAAACAAAGTTTTGAAAACACAATTGATGCTTTTGAACAATTTGGCAACATATCCGGTCTTAAACTTATCTATGAAAAGTGTATTTGACTAAAAATAGGAAAATCATTACGAAAACAGCACGAGTTGGTATATTTAAGGAAAAAAAGAAAATGGACTGCAAAAAGTAAACAAGCGAAAGCTACATAATGATTACTTTTAACAAAAGCAAGAACTTATAACGATATAAATTATGAAAATTAAATAAAACCCTTTATAAACACAATGAATAGATGGAAAATTTGAAATTTAAATACGATAGCAAATATTACAATTTTCAAAACACTTATAATTTACCTAAATTGACTAACCTGTTTTCGGTACATCCGAATCCAAGTGAAAAAAGCAAAAACCCTTTGAATTCATTTGGGGAACAAAACAGACAAGAGGGCCATGATGGCCCTGGGGTCGCTCACCTGAACATAGGCCCCCAGGGCCGGGCAAGTTTAAACCAAATGGCTTTTATTTGAACAAACTTGGAAGACACCCATTAGAAGATATTTCATGATGTTAAGTTTTTACTATACACAAATAATGAATATCAATGACTTTCCCCCCCCCCTCCCCCTGGCATGGCCAACTTTAACC